ACTTCTAACTCAAAATTCTAAAATTTATGTCAATAATTTAAATAATTTAATATTAATTTTTATATCAAAAATAAATAAATTTAAATTTAAACCAGAAACTTAAGTAATTCAATGGTAATCTCCTTCTACTAAAAATAAAAGATCCTGAGTTCGAATCGTATAGCATGATAAGTGGGATGAGATAATTAAAGAATGGGAGAGGGTTGCCTGCCGTTATGCAATTAACATAAAAAAATAATAATAATTTTATAACATACAAATGGAATATGTTAGAAAAAACAAGAGAAGCTCGTCTCAATTATGCGAGTCAAAATAAAAAGAAAAACTAATACTCAAATTTTGCTAAGAACTCACCACTATATGTGAAAAAAAAAAAAAAAAACACAACCTTACCTCTATCTTCTTGAGTTGCCGACAATTTTAAAATAAGAGTTTAGCTAAGTTGCCTATCCGTTAAAAGTTTAAAACATTAATATTAATTCATTCAAGTTAATGACAATAATATTAAAATTTATATTAATTTTTAACATGTGTTTTTAAAATACAAATAAAAAAATCCATTAAATATAAACAATTTTAATATAAGAGTTCAACTAAATCATTATTAAAACGTTAATTTGGATAATAGAATTGTCGGTTAAACTACAACCATATGTTAAGCGGTATATATTATTAATAACTTTTCCGTGGTCTTATAGATAAGTAGGGCATTAATTACACCATTTTATATGGCTTAATATATAAATTGAATGCTACACAATTCATTAATTGTATCCGGTGCGTGATTCAGCCCTTTTCTTTGTCTTTGTGTCAGGTTGTGATCCCTGATGATTCTTAGCGAAAGCTTTTTTATTCTAATTTAGCATTTTTTCAACTATGGCGCAGTCGGAACATCTCCAAACGAGGCCTTAACTTCCCTTCATATGGTATTAAAATCAAATTGGCTCCTCCTCCTGTCATTTGTTGCCACGAACCCTCGACTTTGTCTTGGGTGCACGACAATCAACAAATCACATGAAATGCAATAAGTAAGGATAAGAAATGATGGCCATGATAATATCTCTTTTAAATGAAGTAAGAAATATTAAGTTAGATTTCGTTTGATAATGATTTTTATTGTTTTAATTTTTAATTTTTTAATTATTTTAAAAATATATAAAATATCAATTAAAATAAATATTAAATATATTAATTATAATTTATATATTTTTAAAATATTAAAAGACCAAAAAAATTAACTATTACAATTTCAAGCTCATACCTTCAAGCTAAATTTTAGAGTCACACGATATATTGAGGTAGGTTAATAATTAAAAGATAATTGTTTATTATTATATAAAAAATTAATTAATAATTAAAATTAAGTCCATGGAGGCTGCTTGGTCCTTACCCTATCTTAACTTCAAAGAAAGAATTATAAAACTAAATAATTTAATTAGAATAGATTATGAGTAATAATTAAGAAAGGGGGTTCAAAAAAAAGAAAGGGGGAAATCTTGTGGTGGAGGATTAATTTGCGGCTGATGATAGATAACGCCTGCCCATTCTTTTATCATTTACCTGAGATATTTTGCTTGAGGGAACTATTTTTAATTTGTAAAATATAAGGACAATTGCATATTATAGGGCTTTTATGGGTAAGTGATTGAGTGGGGCGGTTTGTGCGGCTCCCTCCAAGTCCTTAAGGCCATTTTCTATGTTTTAAAGCTCTTTATAGCATCCAGTGGATCACTCTAAACTTTTTAGCCAATCAAAGTTTATGAGCTTTTCTTACTCTTGATTTTGATTTGATTATTACTGGAGAGTTTAATAAGTATTTTTATATGTCTTAACCTGTAAAATGACAAAGAGATTCAACCTTGAAGCCTTGATTATGGTATTTTAATACTAAATCAACATCTAGTTTGCTGATTGATCCCATTAAAAAATTTTTACAACCTTAGACATTTTATTGGTATTTCCAAAAATGCATGATTGAGTTTATAATATTTTTATATTTTTTATAATGATATAATTATAATATTACATAAAATATGTTGTAAGTTTACAATCATAAAATGAGAATATAGACATATAATATTACGAGTGGATTTTTAAATAAAAAAAATATAGTATATAATCATACATCATATTTATAAATTTATAATATCACATGATATTATATTATTTTTATATATTTATATAATGTGATGTGATATGAAATGAATAATCAAGTGGTTAATTTTTTTTACTTGATATAAATTGGGCTATGTTATGAGCACATAAAATACTATAAATGTATTTAGCTTGTGTGATTTTATTTGTTTATAATTGTTAAAGAGTTTACAAATATCAAGTTATAAGATAATTATAAATTGTTAAATATTTAATAAATATAAATTATTTTATCTGTTATCAATTACCAATTATTAACTACTTTTAACAATTAAATTAAATATAATTTTTATATCATTTTTATGTGACTATAACAATTCTTAATAACCATGACCATATAAATTGATACATCTTAAGTCATTTGAAATCTCAAAAAAGAGAATAAGCGGATACCAAGAATACCACAAGCTTTGGATAGGGTTGGGTGAACTGTGAAGTGAACCTTCTTTTTCAGACGGTAGTGTAAGTAAAGTGAACTTTATGTTTTTAATATTAATCTCTCGATATTCAGTAATTACGTTAAATCTTGATTAATTTGAAATCGAGCTGCATCGGACTTCATAAAAGTAAAACTCTCTTAGCGTATATTTTTCCATTCATATGGTTCAAACCCGAAACTTTATTTAAAAGGAATCGAGTTCATTTCATTTGGACCAACAAATCGTTGGTGAAGTGAACTTTATTTTCGACATTGGAATGCTTAACTTGGATGATTCTCGATCACGATCTAGCATCCCAATTCGTCTTTTTTACGAGACACGGCCTGCTCAACCACCTCTAGGATACTAGTTAGCCATTAATTAGATTAACCTTGTTTTTGATAAGTTTAATCTGTTGTTATTAGAAAATCAGACTTATAATTAAATTTGTTGAAATTTTTAAATTTTAAATGCAAATATTGGTTCTGCTCTTCATGTACGGCAATTCAAAGTTCCAATAAGAAATAAGATTCGTGTTTATTAATTAAAAAATATATATAATTAAAATGTTATGTAATATTATAAATTTATAATTTTGATATGTCATGATTAATTTATTTTATTAAAAATATACCTATAATATTATATAAATATATATTTTCTTATCTTAAGTTACACAATAAAAAATAATATTTTTTTATTCTTCAACTCTCTCCATCTACGTATCATTTGAATCGAATTTAAAATTTTTATTTCTATTAAAAGAAAATTACTACTGAATCATTTAAATCATGTGTTATATACGTAAATTTATTTTTGAACATATCAAGATTATAAATTTATAATTCTAGTGATATTATAACTATATTATTGTTGTTTATTAATTAAACTTTCAAAAAATTAAGAAAAAATATTTTAAAATTATATTCTTTTAATTAAATATTACTAAAAAAAAGAAAAAACAATCTTAGTTTGGTTTTAAAAATAAGTTATTTTAATATTTTTAATAAAAAATCATTACAAAACAACATAATTTAAGTTGTTTTTTCTCTTAATTTTTTAAAAATTTGATTGATAATTACTTTTCCCATAGGAAATTACCATTGTTATCCCCCCGCTAGCAGACCCTAACTTTCTTTATGGAAACTGTGGATAATTAGGTTTAAATCTAGACATGTGGATAAATAGTTGGAGAAAATGATAACAATAAATTAGTAAGCACAGGGACTAATAAAAGGACACCAATGTTTCCGAATTATGTACTATAATTGAGTGAACGATTTTCTTGGTAGCAAATAAGACACTTTCTATATGTGTCGGCATATAAGGACAAATTGACAAAATTTTGCTTATACTGTTAAGTTCCCTTAGATAAGGTTCACAGGCAAAATCCAAAATAATTAAAGAGAAAACGAAGAAGAAGAAGAAGAAGACAAAAGTTTATTCCTGTATTACCTTGTCATTTATATTCCTGTATTACCTTGTCCAAAATCCAAAAAAATTTTGTTAGAATCTATATTTTGGATATACGATGGATCCCTATGAATTGACTGGGTTAGCAACCTATAACCAAGGACACATCGTGGATCAGGCACTCCTTTGAAATGCCTTAGCTGAAAATTTTAAATATGCAATTTAGTCCCCTGAAATAATATTTATTAGCAAATAAGCTTTTGATGAAACTTTGGGGGTGCAATCTACAACAAATACGCCTAAAGTGGATGGAGAGG